CCCCAAAACCCCAAAACCCCAAAACCCCAAAACCCCTTACGAGACTGAAGAAGTTGAATAATTTGAATAAAAGCTTATTTTTAGCCTAGTTTTCAAAATCCCAATCAGCATCGAAATCTTTTAGATTGTCTTTAGCTTTCTTAGGGTCTGGTTTCTTGAGATCGCTATGCTTCTGGACTATATGTCCTTTGAAATATTCATTTTCTTCAACTGAAAGATCTGAGTCAAACTCTTCTCCTTCAGATGACTCTTCATCAAGAGTATCTCCTCCAATAGGACCGAGCTGAACTCTATTCTCTGGCTCTCTGGGCTGATCGGCTACTATTAAAGTTCTTTGAGATGATTTATTTTCATTGATTAACATATTTGGATTAGTTTGTGGTCTTCTTGCACCCCAGATATTGTTATCACTTTTCTTATCAGTGAGGTCAATAACTTTAGAAATTGAGGAAGTTCTTTCCTCCTTAATCCTTTCAAGTGAAGTGACCTTTGTTTCACTAGGCTTCTTCCTATTGGAGTTCTTCTCAGATCTGTCATTGAAGATCTCATCTGCTTTAAATGTAAGTTCAGATTGCTTGCTGCTAAGAGGTTTCTTCTGACTACTAAAGACATATTTATCATCTGATTTCTCGTCATAAGAGTCAACATCTTCAACAATAACCTGCTCTTCTCGAGGTGACCTCATTATTTGTCTTTGAAGTGATTGAAAATTTGTCTTGATCTCCTTTTCATTTGAACCATCTCTTGATCTTTCTCTAAAAGCCGTGACTCTGTCTGGATGATTTTGGTAGCTAGAGCCATGGCCGTCATCAAAGGATTCTCCAAGATATTTGTTGATCTTTGAGCCAGAGAGTACACTTTCTCTCTCATGTATATGCCTGGGCTCCATTTTCATAAAGGTATCTTGGTCTGTGAGTCTTTGAATATTCTCATATCGAGAGCTATTCTCTTGAGATTCAACCCTTCTTTTATGTAAGTTACTTCCGAGGTGCTGAGACATGGAGCTTCTTAGAGGAGAAGAGATGTCTTTTCTGATCATACTTACTCTTGGCTGCTTTACCAACTTCATAGCTTCGATCTCTTTCTCGTTACGGTCAACATGAGTGGCTATGTTTAAGAACATTGGAGCTTACTTATGGTATCTATTGACTCAGCAACATCATTTATTCTCTCGTTCAAAGTGTTGAAGTCCTGTAAACAAGCTTCTTTGATGATATTAAGATCATTATGGTCTATCTGGATCTTTGAAGTTCGGTTGAGGATGTTGTTTACTTCAATAAGAGCCTCTGAGAGGTTTTCAATCCTCTCGTCAAGCAGCTCATATTTCTGTTTCAGTGCATCACTAGTTTTGCCGTCCTGGATTCGGTCTTTGTCCAACTCCTGGATTACTTTGGTAATTTCAGACATATCATCTTCGTGGATATCAACTCTTCTGTTGAGGTCTGTGAGCTCTCTTATTATTCTGTCAAGTTTGCTATTCTTCTCTTTTTGGGAAACAATGAATTTTTGGTCAATGATGTCTAACAAATCATCTTGGATAACCTGGCTCTCCTTTCTACGCCTTTGGTCTAAGAGTTTCATCTTCTTCTCAATATCCTTAGACCCATGTAATTGGTCCTTGTTTCCAGCGATGATTTCCAGATCAGAGCGGAGGTCGAGGATGGCTTGTCTCTGCTCTTGGTTCTCAGAATTGAATCTTCTTTCCATATGTTTGAGTCTTTTCTCCAACCCTTGCTTGCTTTCTTCAATCATATCATTCTTCTCATCAAGGTTTTGGAGGAGCTCATCTTTGATGGCTTTTAGCGAAAGTGGGTTATCAGAGCTCTTTCTTGGATGTTTAATGCCATCAATCCTTTCTTCAAGGTAAGCTATTCTATCAAGCGCTTCTTCCAGAGCAGCCTCAACTGCTTTGTTGGGCTTTGAAGAAGGCTTTGGTCTTGTAAAGTCTTTACTCAAGACGCCTAGATGTGGGTTAAAGAGTAAAATTACTTATCTGATCTTGTAAGGCGTTCATCCTTTCATTAATGTCTTCACCCATGCTAGCCATGCTTTTCATATGCTTTGTCTCTAACTCCAAAATTCTTCGACTGTTCTGTGTATTAAATATGTCAATGTCCTTTTGGACTTCACCAAGCTCAAGTTCTGTTTCTCCTATTTCAAAAGTTTAAATTGTGAATTCCTCGAAAGTGAGTTTAAATTTACCATGGCTTGCGAGCATCATTCTGAGCTCATCAATCTCTCCTTTCAAAGCAAGGTTATCCCTCTTCGATCTCTGGGCATCAAGAAGGAGTTTTTGATCGATCGCATTGAAATTAGCTATTATTTCTTGATGGAACTTCTCATTTTCCATTCTTCGACTATATTTCATCTTTGCTATAAAGATTATGCAATAATTTTACCGAGGAGTCTATCCTGGTCATCATTGACACGTGATCTTGCCAAGTCATCATCTCAGCACGGAATCATAGGCGTATAGTGATGATGAGCATGATCGTCTTTTGATGAAATTCCTTTAAGATTACTCTCTGTTTTCTCAACTATGTTCTATATCGACTCTTGAGTAGCAGAATTCAGCTTAAAGTTAGATAAAAATTTAGAAATATGCTTACATTTAGGGATTGTACCCAATCTGTGTTGAACAGTCTGATATTTTCCTGATTGTCCTTTGGTCGATCCATTTAAAAGGCTGATTAAAATTTAATTTAATTCAAAATTTGTCTTTAAAAACGGGGTTTTGGGGTTTTGGGGTTTTGGGGTTTTGGGG